TTCATGTCGTTGAAGTCTTATTTCTCAAATTTTGCTGGAAGGTCCTTTAGTGAATTGATTTTTCAAAGAATGTGATAAAGGTATGTTGATTGATACAAGTCAATCAAAGGACATTGAATAAGCAGTGACTACATTTAAGGCATTGTGCCAGGTGGGTGTTGGTAGGGATACAGAGATAAGTCTCTGCCTTGCCCTCTGTAATTTATAGTCTAATAAAAGAACTAAAGTTAAGTATACAAATCATTATAGGCCAAGGTAGATAAAGTAAGAAAAACAATATAGAGGATCAAAGAGGGGAGAAATACCACGTATTGAAAAAGTTATCAGGAAAGATTTTATCGTGAAACGCTTTGTAAAATGTACCTAAATTAATGATTTTGTTATTCCTAGAGCAATTGCCATTATTAGGTTTGCTGCTAGAAACAACACATATTCTGACAATACTAGAATCTTCACCATCACATACTATATTGTCTTTTGTTTGTTTCAAAAACCATGAAGGGGTCTGAGATTTTACCTTGCTTTCAAGACAATAGGTTAGCCTGTCACCATCTCACAGATATTGGCAGAGGATATGAGACTCCTGGGTCAGAGACAAAGGACTGGATTACTCACAGCACAGCATGCAGCATGGGCTTCATGTTTCCATCAGTTGCCTTTTCCCCTTCAAGTCACACAGGGAGTGAGGCATAGCAGCCTTGATAGACACTGCACACACAGTGAACATGTTATACCTGATTAACCTCACGCTTAGAAAACTCTAGCAAACCTGTCCAGCCTTAGCCCAGAGGGAGACATTATCTTTGTTATCCTGGTCAGGAAACAGATCTTCCATTTGCCCTCGAGGGAGATTCAGTCTCCATCTTCCAAGCCTGTTTGAAATGATAGTGTAGAACAAAAGCTGTCAATAGATGTGTAGACATGCTATGGAGAATTGCCCCTCAAATAGCATGTTCAAAATAGTCCTGGAAATAATCATTATGAAGCAGTGATTTAGGGGAATATAGGATAATATATTGAGGTAGTTTTACTGACCTGGATCTATTTCAACATTGAAAAGCTGAACTTGGTATATTTTTCCAAAGAATTAGTTATCTAATATTTTCAAATTGTGGAAATACAGTGTAAAGATGTCATCATTTTACATAATGAAGAAAAATGAATAAGAAGGGATGCTGATATTATAAGAAGAAGAGTCTTGTATCTCATAAGTGAGTGTGTTAAGAATATAAAACATTATTCTAAATTACAGATGAGGTGCTCTCTAATTTATTCATATCAATAATAAAAATAGGCCTGAAAATCTTTCCAATGATAAATGATCCTAAAATGAGTTTGTGTTTTGTTTTATGTTTATATATGTATACGTGTATATATATATAGACACACATGTATTATAGAAGTTCCTTTTGAATAATTTATGCATCCATAGTAAAATCATACTTCTAAAACCAAATTGAATCTCAAGTTAGAATGGGTTTCAGAAGTCATCTGAGAAAATCTACCCCTTGGTGCAAGAACTTTTTCCAAAATAATAAATCAGTAAGGTTTATAAATTCTCCAGCTTCACTTCCAGGATCCTTACTGTATAATGATGTCAGTGACTCACCTCAGGCTGTTGCAAGGCTGCACCCGAACCTAATATTGATGTATTTGCATGATGTCTTTCCTGAGTCGTGCGTGATCCACTGATGGATTCATTGCTACAGTCAAGAACACTGATACCAGGATATGTGTGTGCTTTTGGCTTTTTAGTTGTTTTTCTCTTACATCCCTACTTTTTTCCTTTGTCTGTTTTCTGTGTCACAACATAAAAGAAAAGCTCGTGTGTTTTCATTTAAAAGTTTATATACTACACTATGAAAGCAAAAGAACATATGATGCTGAATATCGTTAGTAAGAAACTTTTGGGGTCCCATTGCACTAATAAGAACATCAAAGTAATATTTTGTAACTATAATTCAAACTCGATTGCTTACTCCTGTGATAATAAATTTAATCATATGAGGATCACGATAATAAAATGCTATTGTCACCACTTTTAGGAATTCCCTGTATTGTTTGTATACCAGGGAGTGGGTTTGGCTACATAATGTGTGAGTTAACTGATAAGCCTCTTCCACTTCTAGCATATTATAAGTACCTAACCTGATATTAGGGGCACAGCTTAAAAAAAAAAAAAGCTTAAATCTTGACCATATTTGGGATTCAAACATATATATCAGATTTCAAAAACTAAAGTGCCTATAGGGGCCAGTCAGGTGAAAGAAAAGTCTGAAGCAAATCAGAGAGTGCCAGTCCCATTGAAAGAAGACTTCAGACTTTCAGCTCCAGTGGAATGTTGCCACACAGGAACGTATGCCTGTTGCTTGTCTTCAGATTTTTCTAGAGAAACTAGAAATTTTGATTTTTATGCAAAATTTCTCATTTTTGAATATTGGCCACTAATTTAAAAATAATTAAACAATTAAACAGTATACTCAAATAGAAAATGCATCCAATCAGCAACATCTAATATGTGGTTCCATAACCAGAATGTCTTTGCAGGCTAGCAGAGCACAGGCTGGGATAGTGATGGGTAGAGGGAGAGGAGATATCAGGGAGAGATTATAGGGCGCTTAAGGAAACAAATAAATTGCCATAGATAGGAAGAGAGGCTGGCTTACTGGCACAGACCTAGCACTTGAGTCTAATGACAGGAAACATTGACACTGGGTAGTAGGAAGCTATACCTGAACCCTTCTCAATCCAGACTCTGAGGACTCTTAAGGAGAAAAAGACTATTTGTAGAAATTTTAATAATATCTTGAAAGACCCAAGCTACTCTACTGGGAAATTTCTACTCCTTTACCAAAATATTAACTTGAGAATGGAAGGTGATTGCCTACAGAAAGAAGGGAACCATCCTTGATGCAGCCTGACTCAAAGAGGCCATAGAGGTAAGAGAGCAAGAGAGAACATCTTAGGAGTTCTTTATAGCAGTGCACGTGGATCCAAGGTGTAGGCCTTTGGAGGCAATGAATAAAAAACTATAGGGTGTTCTGGTGACAGCCAGCCTTCCTCAAAGTGGAATTCATCATCACCTGACCAGCAGAGCCATGAAGATGATACGTTAGCATGAGAAGGTCCTCCATGGAATTCTGAGAGAGACACAAGAAAGGAGGCTGCTTGAGCTTTTTCAGTCTGCGGGGGGAGGGTGATTGATCCAGCAGATGTGGGGATAAACTATTAATTAGGAGGCTTAAGGTCTTGAGGCACAGGAAACACTTGAGAACTTACCAGTTGCTACAGTTACTCAAATGGATCACATTCCTTGGTTCCTACGCATGGATCTACAGCGTTGTGAAGCTGGACAGAGGCTTCTTTTTAAAGAAACTCCCAAATAATACTATGTCTTTGATAAAGTTGTGGTAGGGATTAATTTAAATATTGAATCTAAAGTGCTCAGGACAAAAATTAGAAAGCTGACAATACCAAGTGTCAGTGAGAATTGGTGGCGGAGTAGAAACATGTCGCTGTTCGGGAGAGCAGTCTGCCACTACATTAACAAATTAAGTATATGCTTACGCCAAGACCCAGCAATTCTGCTCCTGGTCGTAGATACCAATGATATTCTTATACAGATCCCCAAGGGACATGTACAGAGATGTACCAGTGTTTGATGTGGCAGAGATTTGGAGGCAATCTGAGTGTCCATCATTGGGAGGGTAGATAAGAAAATGAGGGGGATCCATATCCTGAATATTACAAAGCAATTAGAAACAACAGACTATATGTATACATTGGACTGTGGAGGGATCTTAAAAACCCAGTGAAAAATACGAGAAAGGGTTTGCATAAATTAAAAATACCATTCACATAAATTTAAAAATGTGCACAAAAAGCAATAATATATATTTTGTAAGAGTATATACAAACAAACAAAAAATTCCTGGCCACAGTTTACAAGGATTGCCCCCTGGAGGGATGCAAGTAGAACATGGAGAGGGAAATGGAAGGAAATAAATAATTAAAATAAGAGAGGGACCTTTCAAGACCAGTGATAATAATGAGCCGTGAATTGAGTAGTGTGACAAACTCTAACCTCTGCACATGAGTTTACAAAGCAGAAGAAAGAAAAACTAAAAGTTCTTATCACACTGTCAGGCACATGGTATAATTAATTCTATAGTTTGGGCAACAAGAGGAACAGAAGCAGTCTGAGAAAAGAAAAGGAAATGATGGAGAAAACACTTTCTTTCCTTAAAAATATACACTTCATGGTCAGAAATTTGTGGAATCAGAGAACAAGTCTTTACTGATTTCCGCCTGTGGCCCCAGCGAAGTGCTAGGTAATATTAGAGATGAAAAAGAAGTATTTGGTATATTCTCTCTCTTCAAGGAAGAAACCAACAAACTTGAAATATAATGAAAATTTCCTGAAATCCAGTGGGAAACTGGTAGAGGTAAACAATATTTTAAAAAATATTCAAAGTCATTGTGTGGTGTATATTATTAGGTGATATATTATAAATTAGCACTTAAAGAGTCATTCATGCTTTAATCCTTTCATGTAGAAAACATTACATGCATGGTGTGTAGGGTCCACCACACACCAGGTTCTGTGCTAAGTGGTAAAAATGCAAAGCAAACTCAAAGGGGGTACCCGAACTTATAGGGCAGACTGTCAGGTTCAAGAGAAAGACTGGCTGGCAGAGGTTATGGTAGGTCAAGTACAGAGCAGGGCTGGTTGAAGTGTGGGCGGTCTCTGAAGGGCTGAGACTTGAGGTAAGCCTTCAAAAAGATTTAAAAATAATAATAATAAGGTTTAACCTGAAGTATAAACTCAAAGATAAGTGTCTTTGTGCAAATAATGGTGTAAAGAAGAAAAAGTCTTGCTTTATCTTCTCAGAAAATAGAACAAAATGAAAACATTGAATTGCAGAACAAAATGAAATGGTTTTTCAGTGTGGTTTATTTTTATATTTAGTTGCATAATAGTATATTATGTTTTATTTCAGATACACTGGCCTAGTACAGCACTAAAAATAGAAGAATGCATAATGAAAGGAAAAGATGCAGTAAGTATTATGCATTGTACATTAAAGAAATCGTCAGTTATATCCCTGGTCAATCACAGAGGACTGAATCCAATCCCTGGCCTTTTATTCGCTCTTAAGATTCACATATGCAATTCATTTCAGCAAGAAAAAAATATATATACACATATATATATATAATATGTACATACGCATTACATATTTGTAATTATTTAAAAATTAATTTCAATGTAGAGTTAAAGGGAGCTGAGGTGTCATCCAGATCTTGGTTTTATTTTGTTTTATTATATTTTAATCAACCCAGATTTATAAATTCTTTATACTAATGCTTATTTCCTATGTATTTGGGAGAAAAATAATTGCAGGTAATTTTTTAATTTGAGGAAATGCTAAGCACATTGTTTTTGAGATTTCATTGCACTTTGATTAGTAAGTTATAAACAAATGAAGAAAAAAAGGAGAAGAAAGGAGAAGTTTGAAAGAAGAAGGCAATAAATATGCCTGACTTATTCCACGATGTCTGTAAGGTCTGTCCTCCTTAGAGAATCAGTGCTCCATTTCTCCACAGCGTCCCTGCAGTGTGGGAGATGTGGGTGGGAGATGGTCGTGCAGCAGCAGCGTCTCTGACAGAGAGCCTAGCACACTAAAACCTGAAGGAAAGAGGTACTGTCATGTGCGAGGTGTAGCTGGCCCGTGACACCATACTCGTCTTGGGAGGAAGGCATGCACGTCTCCTTTTGAAAGTTAACTTACCCTTTTTTTCAGTAAGAAAACAAAATATCATGTAAAAGAGTAACACACAACTCCTGATTGCCTGTAGCAACTCGCTCACAGCCAAGGAGTGAGTCAAGACATTCTTGCTGCCTTAGTCTGCAGCGTGATGGTGACTAATTGAACACGCTCTTAGGCTCTGTCAATCTCAGCCCAACTGAGCCGAAATGTGATTTAATTCGCTCAGTCAAGATGTGACAGTGTTTCAAGAGATGAAAAGCAGCTGCTTATAGCAGTGTGAGAATAGAATATTTTCCCCATACCTGAATGATTAGAGTTTTCCAACTATATGGGTCACCCGCAGAATAAAATGCTACACGAGTGGGAAATTGAAGAAATAAATTTGTCTGTATGCCCTGGATAATCAGTTCAGCAGTGCATTCCTTATTCTTACCAAGGGAATGCTATAATCTGAACCATTTATGGTGAGATGGTTCTGTGGCTTTTTCATCCTAATACTGTGATGTGGGAGCCTTTAAAGTCACAATCTGTCCTTATAAAACATTATATTTACTGATTATTGCATGTATTGTTACCCAAAGTAATATTTAGCATTAAAAAGTTTAGTATTTCTCTCATAATTTATTTTAAATAAGCTAAAGATAGCTAATTTGCCAACAAGGTGTTTGCTAGGATTAATTTAGCCAAGTTGGTTTGGAACAATTTTAAACTCTTTTTTTAATTCAGCATACTGATCATAAAACTCACCTAGTGATTAAATGTGTTAAAATTTTGGAAGTGATTTCAGTGAATTTGAGTTTGAAGATAGATATTTTCTCAAACATCAAAACTCTGTAATGCCCTAAAGTCTGCATGTTTCCTTATGCATTAATGAAGCATTTTCTAATTATTAGTTTTCTGACTTTATGCTGATTCATTGTTTATATGTACTTTTAAAAAATAAAAGCTTTGGGAATAACTTAATTACTCAGTGGAATGTATTGCCATGCAAATCTTTGCACTTGAATACATTTCTGAATAGTGGTTTTTTAAATCCTCAATTGTGTAGTAGAATACGTGAAAATGATACGCTCTCGTTAGTAAATGTAATTCATGGATCACCACTAACTAAAATGTGCATTGGTCACCCTGGTCTCTTCTTCTGCTGGTCTCTGTCCTTTTTCCATCTGCTCCTTGTTACCTCCTCTAGCCAAGGGAGACTTAAACATGAGATTTCTAGGGTTAGGAAAACAGAAATGAAAAAAGGGCCAGACATTTTTATTACACTAACCCATTTCTGCTTTTTTTCCCTGCTTTAGAGTGAATGTGCCAATTATGTTCGAGTTTTGCATCATTATAATAGGACACACCTTCTGACCTGTGGTACTGGAGCTTTTGACCCACTTTGTGCCTTCATCAGAGTTGGGTACCATTTAGAGGTAAGGTGATTTCATTTATTGCTATCAATAAAAGTAATGCTTAAAAGAACTTTCTTTTAAAAGAAAGGGTGTGGCATTTCCTCCGACAAAAGAGAAAAGCATTTGTGATCTACTGATTCAGTTTGCTTGAGTCAAAGAAATGATCTCTCTGGGCCTTTAAAATCCTTGTCAGCTGTGAAATCTGTGAACCAATTAATTCTTTATGTATTCATTCACTGAACAATTTCATTTACTTAATTTGTCCACTTAAAAATATTTCTTAATATTAAACTGTATCTCTATTGTGTTCTTATATAAATTTTTATTAATATAACCACCAAACTAGAATGAATATACATATGTATATACCCACATGTATATATATATAAATAAATTGATATAAATAAAATTACTACATATAGTATTTTACAAAGGACGTGGAAACACTTGTTGATTCTGAAATTACTCTTTTTCTCAGCCAGGTGAGGTGGGGGAGGTGGAGTTGGGGGTGGGAGGAGATTGCAAAATGACTTAGGCTAAATATTAGTGGATGAGAGCTATATGTCTCTTCCCCCAAGACTCCACCACTAGGTGATATGGTATAATGAAAGCAAATCTCAACTGAATTCTGCCACATACGTATAAAATTTACTAATGAGCAGGGTTAAAGATCAGTCATATAACCTGTTGCAACAAACTGAGTAAACTCTCAGCTCTCATTTATTTTAGGCACATTTTCAAGTACCTTACATCAGTTTCACTGTGAAGCATTGTAAACAATATTCTGATGTCAGGATCTGTTACCTTTCATTTAGGTCAGAAGGCAGAATTCTACATTAAGATGAGACACAGATAACACAGAGTTCTAGATATTCTGTAGTGAATCAGCTAGACTCTCTTGATTCTTATACCCCATTTATGAAAGGGCAGCAGTGACTGACTATAAAATATTTTCAGCCACCACACATATAAAGAACAAAATTCATTTCACTAGTGAAAAATTATTTCTGTTATTCCTTATACTGGTTAACACTCAGGTACACATATAATTAGCAATATTTGAAGTGCTTACTCTAGGTGCCTCTTTGAGAGTGCCCCTGATTGGAGTACTTCAGCTATTAAGTATCCTTACAGGCAGGATTTTTGATTATCGTAATTTAAATGTTAACTAACCACCTCTAGTTGTAGATTAAAATTAAGTAGCGTACATAAACACATCACAGTGTATTTACTGAATTATTTTAAAGAAACAATGCAGATGATATAATGGGAGAACTTTAGACAGAGATGTAGAAGGCAGACCAGTCCTGTGTGAAGTCACAATATTTACATTATACACAGATATACAAAGTATACATATGTTTATACATATATACATACGTATACAAACACATGTATACATACGTACGAAGTCAGAATATGTAATCTTGTGATGCAGATGTATTGGCAACAAACCCTCTCAGTTTTCATTTATCTGAGAATGCCTTTATTTTGTCTTTATTTTTGAAGGATATATTCCCTGGATATAGAATTCTGAGTTACCTTTTTTTTTCTTTCAGAATTTCAGAAATGCTTTATTATCTTCAAATCTTTTTCTTATGTAAATTAAGATTTCATTCATATTGATATTACCCTGTTTGTAATTGCTTTATCTTTTAAGATTTTTCTCTTTATCTTTGGTTTTCAGCAGATTTTCTGTAGTGTGCCTATGTGTGTGTGTGGCAATGGTGGCGGTAGAGAGATTGGTATTTATATTTCTTGGAATACTAAGATTCTTGGATATAGAAGTTTATGTTTTGCACCTAATTTGGCAAATTTTTGGCAACTATTATTTCCAATAATATTTGTGCCTCATTCCCTCATTCCTCTCCTTCAGGGATTCATATATGATAGACTTTTGGGTGCTGTCCCACAGATCACTGAGATTGTGTTCATTTTATTTCAGTCTTTTTTTCCTCTGTTTTTCAAATTGAATAAATTCTATTGATTTATTTTCAAGTTCGTTAACCCTTTCTTCTGACATCTCCTATACGCTGTTAAGCCCACCCCATTAATGATCCGTTCAGACATTGTACTTTTCAGTTCTAGAACTTTCATTTTGTATATTTTCCATTTTTATACTCAGCATTCCCCCATATTTTTATTCATGTGGCTATATTTTCCTTTAAGCCCTTGAACATATTTTTAATAGCTGTTTTAAAATCTGGGTGTGCTAATTTTAACATCTAGGTCAACTTATGGAAAGTTTGCATTGATTGCTTTTTCTCTTGATTGTGGACCATATTTTCTTATTTCTTTGCATGTCTAGTAATTTTTATTGTGTACTGGACATTATAGATTATATGATTTCATTCTGGATTCTGGATTCTATTATCTTTTGAAGATAGCTGATTTTTATTCTAGCAAGTGGTTTGACTGAACTCAGACTCATGGGCAGCAGCCACAAATCTCTTTCAACTTTCCAGCACTGCTTTTCATGTTCTGCTTGCACACGCAATTCAAGTGTCAGCTAAGGATTTGGGAGAGAAAATGTACAGATTTTAGGCTACTCCCCTCAGTTTCTGGGTATATCATCTCACTTTTCAGCTGATCTGGTACTTTAAATCTCTGTTCTATGACTTGCCAAGCTAGTAAGTTTCTAGCTTTTTGCTCAAGTTCTAGCCGTTTCTCACCACATGAATTAGGGGGTGTCTTTGAGTCAAAAACTCTCCAGTCTTTATCTGCTCTTAACTGATCTCCGGTGCCTTCAAATAATTGTTTTTATATATTTTTTACTGAGTTTATCATCATTATCTGTGGAAGAGTTAGTCCAGTACAAGCTGTGTGGTCGTTAGCAGAAGTGGAACTCCATGTAATTCACCTTCATATATATGATATTGAATATTTTTTCTCCTGTAATTATCAAATATGATTAAAAACATATTTTGAAAAAAATTCTGTATGTGTCATAAGAGGAACTTGTGGCCATATGATAAGAGCAGTGAGACATTTATTTCCAAAACTCCATTTGGTGTTTTGATAAGATTTTGTATGAGGGAATGGGAAATACAAATTATTATAGGCAAGAAAAATACTTTTATTAAAAACCTCAGAGGCAGGCACATATGGGATAGGTTCATAGACATTAATCTCATTGGTTGGAGAACAACAGGAGATAAAGCTGGGGCAAATTGGTGGAGATTTTAATGCTAGACAGTGGCATTCTGAAGTTATTTCTGAATACAGCATGGAGACTGTGAAGGAGTTTGAGCAGAGTGTTTAATTGACATGACATTAGTAATATTAAGGATTGATTCAAGCAGAGAGAGATGAAAGGCAGAGAGAAATTAAAGGAGGCTATTATAAGAGTCTTTGTGGGAGATCATGAGGATATTTAACAGTGTTGTCGCAATAGCAAAGGAAAGGAAGTGTGGAACTGATGTGAGAAGCTGCTCAGCAGGAGGGTTTACATAACTTAACATTTTATTGGATGCTGCTGATGAAAGGGAATTTAAAAACAATTCCGATTTTATTTCTTGATATTTGGGAAGAAAAACAAAGTGTTTAACAGGAAGAAGGAGCTAAGGAGGCAGAGTAGGTTTTTTTGAGAACGTGAAAAATGCCCAGTATTTCTCAGTTTTAACTTTTTCATTTCCATGTACGGTTATTTGAAAAATTGATCCTGGAGCTAGGAGAGGGTGTTATCAGAATAGGTTGAATTTTTGAACCCTAGGGAATTAACGGTCCCTAAAGGAGTCTCTCCTCTCCTCTCTTCTCTCTCTCTCTCATTCTCTGTCTGTCTTATTTTTTTCTCTCACTTTCCTTCTCTCCCTCTCACTTTATCAAAGTAACTTGGAAAATGCCATTATTTCGGCCACAGTAGAATGTCTAGGGAATATCAGTGTGAACAGGCTGAGCAGACAGAGTAGTGTAAGACAAATCAGGTTAGTGCAGATTCAGAATAACACTTGTGAAAGGAAAAAAAAATTTTTTTAATGATAGACAACTTCGTCAATGCTACGGAGAGGGCGCTTTTGGTAAAGGGATGAGTAATTAGAACGTAGGAGATTAAGAAATAACTGAATAGTGACAAAATGAAGGCAGTAATATTGCCTATTTAATCCAGAAATAGACTTGGTAAAGAAAAGAAATATGAGGAAGGATATAAAAAGTGTAGGAGTGTTGAAAGAAGGTTTTTCTTAGGATAGTATATAGAGAAAGCTGAAATTACTTGTCAAATGAGAGCATATGACCACTTACCTTCTTGAAGTTAAAGAGGGCTGGGTGGGGAGCAAGTTTGCCAAGGAGGGGGACTGTCTGATAGTCAATAGAGAGATCTCAGTAACAGTTGGATATAAAGGGCTGTTTTTCAAGAGACAGACCTGAGCTAGGAATGCAGATTTGAGAATGCAGATTGAGAATTATATATGTGTGAAAGCTGAGATCTTTAGGTATGATATCATTGCTTAGGAAGAGAATTTGAGTGAAAAGGAAAAATAACTGAATATGGAGCCCAGACACACCAATATTTGAAAGGCTGGCAGAGGAAGAAAAACCTGCACAGAATATTAAAGTGACTAGGAAGGTTAGGAGGAAAATAAGAGAATGAGACAGCACAGAAATGAGGGGTGATTACTTATGTTAGAAGTTTCAAAGTCAAAGTGTCATTGGTCCTAGAAAGTCTTTGGAGACCTTTATGAGAGGAATTTCAGTAAAATATCGATGCAAGCCATGGTCTTCTGGCATAAAGGATTGAAGCCAACTTTCTCTTGAATCACTTTTCTCTCTTCATTTCATTATTTTTAATTTTTTTACTGAAGTATAATATAAATATAAGAGGTACACATCATGTGACTGTATTGCTGGGTCATTTCCTCAAGTGGAATACTGTGTAATAAGCTCCCAGATTGAATTGTTTATTTTTATGTTTTGTTTTTATTTTTACCTGTTTTTTTTCCCTCAGCGGGCATACTCTTGGTGTTTTTTTGTTCTTATGCCCCTTCTAGTTTAGTCCTCATTTTCAAAATGATTTTTTCTTTTTA